GTTACGATTTTAAACTTTCAGGTACCTAACACTTCCAAGTGAAAACTTTCAAAACAAGTTTGCATATTAAAATTAATTTGTAAACTCCTTTAGTCTCTACCAATTCCTCCTATCCTACTTGTAACTTAACAAATTTATATACAAGCGTCAAAAGATTAGAGCTTTAAAAATTGAAAATTATGAGTAAAAATTCCACAAAAAATATGATGATAATTTTTGTCGCCTTATGAGAGTTCGCAGCCTAAGGCTCCCCGCCTACAACCGACCAAAACCGACCAAAGCTATTCGGCTTCTCTAGTGTGTCTACTTGGATTTGTTTACACTTTTTTTTTTTTCAATTTAAAATTTCTTTCCCATTTCAGTTTTAGAAACATGGGGAAAAGAAATCCAGCCCCTCAATTTTGACCTCAATAGTTCACGGATTCTCAGGCCAAAAAGGTTCACAGATTCAAATGAAAGAAAATGCAGATGAGAAGAAGACAAAACAAGAAAAAAGAGGAGACAAGGCCGGTTGATCAAGGTGATAAGCATGCTGGGCATTCGAGTATATTTTGTTTTATTGAAAAAAAGTGTATTTTAATTTATTTATATTTATATTTATTTTTGTGATTCCGGCATTGGAGTATCTGTATAATTTTTTTTTGTTAAAGCATAGGTATTCTCCTATTGGAGGCAATCCTATTCGAGGCACTGTCGGGCACTAAATGTGGGCAGATCTCCCAGCAGAGATTCAAACCTTGGTTCACCATATTGTGAGAACCTAACCCCTTCCGTTAGACCCAACTCTCGTTGGTAGTATTTGCATATTTGAGTGCCTATATGCCAGCATGACGGGTTTATCGTCCATTGGGTCGCACATAATGGGCCACTTACCCTGCCAACAGATGGCCATTTCAATACTCACTGGCCCACATAATCACAAAAAGCTCACCCCCTTAACACCTTATCATGGCGTGCGCAAATATAAATGGTCACGAAAATTAAAGGCTTATCTTGGTTCGTGGCTGGACTGAAGCAGCCATGGCAGCCTTAAGCTGCCAATTTTATCCTTCCAGCTTCTTCATTTCTCGAAGCGTCAAAACCAGAAGAAGCAAGCATTACAAATCCTGCTCAGCACAACTCACACAAAGCAACATAAAGGTACCGGCTTTACAAATGCATTATTCTCACACTACTACTTCATCGAATCAATATATCATGTATCATATATCAAACATATAAAATCCATAAAAAGGTACATTACTCACAAGTCATGAACATTGTGGCTGGTATCGGACTCTGTAAAGCATGAGGCCTGCATCTAGTTGACCCAAAAACATAATGAAATGAGCTCATGAGTGGTTTTTTCTGTTCTGATATGTGGAGAAGGTTGTGATAAATGGAGCTGCAAAGGAAATAGGAAGAGCAGCTGTCGTGGCAGTGACCAAAGCAAGAGGCATGGAGGTGGCCGGAGCAGTGGATAATTACCATGTTGGAGAAGATATCGGAAAGGTCTTTGCTTTTCAGTCCCTTTGGTACATAAAATCTAACAAAATATAAACAAACAAAAATAAATGAGTTATATATTTATAAACATATGTTTATGATATAATGTAGACGGATTATCTTAACTGAGTTTCTACCTTCCTTCAGAATATTAATCCTTAATCCGGTATGAATTCATTGTGCTTCATAGGTGAGTGACATGGAAGAGCCTCTGGAGATTCCAATACTAAATGACCTCACTATGGTTTTAGGATCAATATCTCAGGTAATGTGAATCAAATATTCATTAAGAAACTTTCCAGTGATAAACGTTTTGGGTACTGAATGGCATTTTATTTTTTGACAGTCCAAAGATAATGCAGTAGTCGTCGATTTCACTGACCCCTCCTCAGTTTATGACAACGTAAAGCAGGTTTGGTCTTCATAGCTACCACCCTTCATTCTTCTGCTCAGTTTGCTTGTATAAATCATCTAGTAATCATAGCTCAAATACACTCAAAAAGACAAAAACTTGCACAAATTTTATATGCAGCTTCTAAGGCGCTTATTGTTTTATAACTGTACCAGTCTTCATCGGTTCATCCATAAGAATTTCTCCTCATGTTTTAATTCTAATAAAGATTATAGCACTCTTAAATTAGATTCTAGCATTACTTACTACTGAGGTGAAAAGTGGTGGTTCATTCTTCAAAACAGGCGACAGCATTTGGAATGAGAAGTGTGGTGTACGTGCCTAGACTTAAAGTAGATACAGTGGCTGCATTATCTGCATTCTGCGAGAAGGCCAGCATGGTGAGCACAGGGTGAGATATAATGATAATGACACAATGTCTACTTCAACCTTTGTGTTTCCTCTGTTTTGGGGGTCAACATTTTGTGCTTGTTATTCTCCATAATGATATTGAAAGAGTTCCAAATTTGGACTAAACAATGCTCCTAAGTCGTGTTTGTTTTGTGGCGCCATTGGTTGTGTTCAATTCTAGGGTGTCTTGGTTGCACCAACCCTATCCATAGGATCAATATTACTCCAACAAGCTGCCATTTCAGCTTCCTTTCATTACAGCAATGTCGAAATTGTGGAATCAAAGGCTACTCCAAATGTAAGATTTCATTCTTTTATCTATAAATCTACTACGAAAAAGTGTATCCAGCATAGGAGACCAACCTCAAGATAAGATATAGCTGGTAGTGATATATGAACATATCCTTTGTGAACAGGATCTTCCATCGGTAAACGCAAACCAAATTGCCAACAATCTCTCTAACCTTGGTCAAATCTACAACAGAGAAGATCTTTCAACAGAAGTCTTGGTAAGCATAAAATAACGTCAATAATACAGCCTTGATTGATAAAGATAAAAGGAAAACATGGTCATAAAGTATTTGTCCCACTAGGCAAGGGGTCAAGTTCTGGGAGAAGATGGAATTCGAGTGCACAGCTTGGTCCTTCCAGGCCTTCCATCCAGCACAACAGTTCACTTCTCAGGTCCAGGAGAGGTATATAAACATGAATTAATTTGATTCTACTTCTGAGAAATGCGTCTTCAGATAAGCAGATTTGTTGGCTGCAGATCTACACTCTGAAACATGATATCACAAATGTACAGTGTCTCATGCCAGGCCTGCTTCTAGCAATTAGAAGGGTAGTTCGCCTCAAGGTAATATAATGTAAAGTCGTACATTTTAGTTTGATCAATCGTTGAGCTTCAACCATTTCATTCTTGCTACCCCTGCAGAATTTGGTATATGGCCTGGAGAAGTTTCTGTAAAAGCATTCAGATCCTTTTGAGATCCTCGAAGGAAACTTTGCGGTTTGAAACTTAATGGGCGTCCGCATCAGCCTGGAAACAAGCATCACGGATATGGTCGAAAGAAAGATTATTTCAGAGAATTCAGACATTTTGTCAGAGATTATTTAATGTATCCAAAGAGGATTCAGACATGAAGAAAGCATTCTTTTAGAGCTTTTGTAATAGCAATCACAATTGAAACGGGACAAGGGGGGAAAAAGAAAGTAGGGGCTGCACCAACAGAGATAGTAACATGGCAAACCAAAACCGAGGTTCTCCTGTTTTTTTCCCCCCTAGACGGGTTCTTTGTTCTTTAAGACCAAAGCTTAGCATGTCTATAAATGTGTTCTTTTCCAATCCCCTCTCCTTAGAGGTTAGAATATAATTTGAAAAGTCACATATAAGGAGCCGCATTTGAGACCATTTAACCAAAAGCAAAAATTTAAACTTTGCCTTCTAACATAGCTTACGATTTACTAACAAAAACAATATTGCTTTTGGCTTGCCATCATCTCATCAAAGCAACAAACATATTAGATTTATGCCTTTGCTGAAAGCATAGAATCAATCAAATCATAGGACAAAATGCAAATAAAACAACCGCTATGGATGCAACATGCATACCAGACTCATAAGAAAACCCTTCTCCATAGTTCAGTGAGCTACAGCTTGAATTACAAAGTGTGCATAAATATACTTCGTTTTTATGAACATTATTTGAGGATATTTAACAGTATTATCTTTCATAAGAAATCATTAAATTTCACTTATTTTAAATATCAAACTGATGAGTTAAAGGAAGGAAATTGAGCCTATCTGCAAAAAAATGTAAAAATAAAAGACTTTAAGTAATTAATTCTTTGCCCACTCTTAGACTTCTACGACGACAAACTGTTTCACAACTATGTGAGCGTATGCGTGTGTTTTACTCTTCCATTGGAGAAGAGATGAAATTAGGAATTGTATTCATGAAACTTAGCCCATTATAATATTATAAGCATATGCAGTTTACTTTTCAGTAAACCTTCGTGGTGAAATATCTTCATGGTTCTGTACAGTGGGAAAAATTCAGCTTTCCCAATTTCGTGGCCTTCCATCACAGATGTATATTAAGGTCTCTGCAAATATGGTGTGTGGATGTTTGTAGCAGTTATCTCCAAAACACCATATTAGTCCTTGAATATACAGACATAAATACACACATACATATATGTATGTATGTATTTCTTGCTCAGTTTTATCCGAGTTTCAATATCCAAATAACTTGCATTACCTTGATGAGGACCCAGATGATTAGACCCTTCACGGCATTATTTAATTTTATCATTGTAGTTCTACATTTTGTGGGGTTTTAATGTCTATATATATAAAAAAATATATATATCATAGTGGTCATCACCATGATGCTGCTAGACAAATTGTATCAAAGTTATCAAAAACTTCCGACACGAAAGTTCAATGCTTTGCTTTTTCTGGCCAAACAAGTCTAATACTTTGCTGCATCTCATCTTTTTAGTTATCATTAAATCAAGTTATTGTTCTATCAATCTTGGATAATCCCACTGCTATGCAGATCAATGACTTAATGTGATTTCAGTTATTCACCAGCAACATCAGAGGCAGGTGCAAGTCCTGGAACTTCTCCACAATACATGACAATTAAGAAAAAATGAGGACTACGAGTATTAAACAAATTAGACCAAAAAAAAAGGCACTCCCTTTATCTCTAGCCAACAACAAATAAATAGTATCATACGAAAAATCTCTTGCAAAACTTCTAAATGCTCAACATTTTTCTCATTGAATGCTAGCAAAATTATCAAATTACATGCTGCTTCTTTCAACTTTAAACATTGAAACATAAAAAAAGAAATGAGGAAACCAATACCTATTTCTACACTAAACCAGGATTACATATACACAGATATTTCGAAGAAAAAGGTTACATATCGAAATTGCAGACTTGCTGACTCATCACCTGAAAGATGTAAATGCATTCACAAATTGGCAAGTTTATCCATGTCTCTGAACTTGTCGGCCACAGCTGCAATCCAGGCTCTGTCTTTCATGGTAAATGCGTACGTCATAGTCGAGGCCAGAAGAATAAAACCTTCAGGATTTTGGGGTCCGTTGGCAGTCTGGCTTGGAACTTGTAACAATGGTTGCACCAGGAGAGAGCAAGCCCCTTTCGGTAGAAATTCCTGAAACTCAGAATCTGATATATCTATCAGACTTTCAGTTTATATGAACAAAGCCTTATAATCTGCAGAGTGAACAGCATTCATACTATGGAGTAGACTTGATAGAATAAGATATCAATTTTCACCCAAAAAAATAGAATAAGACATCAGTTGATAATATAAATTTCAGCCTCATATTAGCAGGACTCAAACTCAAGCGCATTGCTAGTTGAAACCACAGATAATGCACATAAATCTCAATAAAAATTCTTTAAAATCTGCAATTTCCAGCACAAAGTCCTAAATCATTCCAGTTAAATTTCCAGGTTCTTTCTAGTACATTTAGTTTGGTCAGTAAACAGGAAAAGAAATTTTAAGGTGTGAGGATAAAAAGCCTCGAGCACCCAACGGAACCTAACCATAAGATTCATATCATATACAACCTATACCCGACTGTAGACAACTACAGACTAGCATCTGAAGATATGACATCACCATAAACATCACAAAATGTCCAACTATCATTTTCTGTTTGATGAGCAAGAATTGAATAGGAACCTTCGTGATCTTTATGTCAATAATACCAGACAAATCTTCAACCACTCAATTCCCAGAGAAACATAGGACATCGTAAAAACTACATTGGTTCCAGACACAGTTCTACCATCGATCCAGTAGAAGGAAAGAGAACAGCATCAACCACTTAAAATTTTCTAAGGACATTGCACACAATTACAAAATTTAACACAACATACGGATGCTTTTAAACGTCATTGCATAGTGCCAATAACATAAGCAGATGAACTGGCCATCATAGTTCAACTTCCACTATGTAATTAACCAGAAGTAAGAAAATGGCCATACCTGCTTCTTGGGGAAAATAAAGTGTGTCCTTCAAATCAAAGAGACCAACTTTTTCTACTTTTTCCTGAAACCATCCAAGAAGACTTTCTTTTGATGAGTTTTCTTCTGGTATGTTCCAGTAGCCCCGTGCACATATAGCCCCTTGAATTGAAATTAACTGAACACATTAAAATCATATGCTCAGTGAACACTCAATTGACAAATTTTCCTTTTGAAAATGATCTCTACCACTAAATTGCAAAATTTACTGTACATCTGTAATTTCTATTATTTTTCTTTCATTTCATTGCTTTCTTAGTCAACCTGTGAACTGTTCATTAAAACTCATAATCATTAAGCATGAGACATACCACGGCTATGGCATTTGTATTACGCAATAGAACATATGATGCCCAGGCCAGGTCCTCCTTCTGAATACCCGCTAGACTGGGAGACATAACAAATATTTGCTCAGCACCATCAGGTTGAGCTTTTTGGTAAGCTGGCTGAGCACCCTGAATAGATTCGGAGACCAGTTTGAGGATCAGTGATGTTCATGATTATTTTATATGTGAGCTCCAGATGCAATTTACATTAAAAAGTTAATACAGCTTAATTTTTTGAAAAAGAACATTATATACTAAACCATTTCTGCACGCATTATGCTATTATTCTAAAGGAAATCTTATATTTTTGGTTTCTCAAATAATTTTTAAAATTTAAAGTATGAAAATTTTGAAAATATCTTGGAAAGGTAAGCAGACGTAGTTATTCATTATTCAACCTTATGATTTGGAAATTTACAGTATAAACCTATAGTGAATATCATGCACTAGCTCTGCATAAAATAATAACAGTTAAAAAGAGGAACTTGAAGAAGAATTCAGGAGATGAATCAGTTCTTAATGTACTTTTGAGCGCATCTAGTCAGTTTCAATTTCATATTCACATCCCTAAAAAGAACATAATAAATTCCGCTAGTATGCTAGTAATCTTAAAATATGTGTGGGTGGTATATTTTCCATTAAATTTGATAAACAAATGTTACAAAAGTGTCCGACTTCTGCACACCATTTGTGGTTCTTTCAGGGACGCTTATCCATGAAGCGAATTATTCCTTAGCAAGCAAAAGCTTCTCAAAATTTCTGACTTGTAGAGATAAGATGTTACTTCAAACTTTAACACAAAAGCTTCTCCTTTTCTTCATTTTTTTAATCTTATTTGTGTCACCCATGGTCCCAAATCTACTTAATGACCTGAGATTCTATGCTGTATTTCTCCCGACAGAAACATCAGTAATTTGGCAAATCTAAATTACAAGCCGTTCATATTTCCACCATCTTGCAATTTCCAGAAATGGCCAAAAATGGAAATTTTCTGATCAAACATGAACCCAAAACATTAACATAATTCAAGCATTCTAAACGTCGGTGGAATTTTAGTTTAGAACTCTCTTACTTCTCGCATAATTGAAGAAGACAAGCCAAAATTTCCATTGGTAGAAGAAAATTAGAAAATACAAAATTTCAAGTTGAACGTCACTAGCATTTTTGCTATCATCAATTATTTACAGTTGAATAAACACGGGGAGCATTGGTCACAAACGCAGGTAAACATAATGAACAAGTATTAGATAGAAAAGTTACCTTGAGAAATTTTCCTAAGTAAGGCAAAGCAATAGAAGCAGAAGCCAGAGAGAGCCCCAAAATTTCTGTGGTCTACAAATCAAAAGATAAACGACCAACTGAAACCCATAACGGAAATAAAATTAAGAGAATCTAGATGCAGAGATTTGCTTACAAACTGCGCTGGAGTGATAGAAGTTGAACCAGAATCAACAAAATGATTTAAGAGCAGAAGCGAACCCAACCCATATCCAATCCATCTGGGCAAATACGATTCATCCAATCCAGGTATTCCTGAAACAAACACGATCAAAATGGGGACGAAATCGATCAAACGCGATTACAGGCGAAGAAAAAAAGCGTCAGAAGCTTCCTCACCTAACGTGAAGCGAAGCACGGAGAGGTTTAATTGTTGCTGTTGAGAATCCTCAAGACGAGCACAGATGGTTGCAGAGGATTTTCTGGAGCTAGTTTTGGCGCGAAATGCAGAACGGGGTTTCAGCGGGATTGACTGAGATAAAGAGATACCGTTCATCGTCTAAGAAATGGCGGGGTCAAGGATTAGCAAGAATCCCAATTCGGCAGTTATTTGCTGGTTTGGGATGTTTGGGTTTTGGAATTCGAGACTGTGACCCCAAGTCCATTAACCAACCATAGGGCTCAGGCCACGGGCGTGAGTAGGAATTAGGATAGTAGCAAGGAACACTTTGTCTTTTACTACTCTTTTATTAGATTATAAAAGTTAGATAAATTAGTTAATTATAAAAATATGACACATTTTTTCTAAAATATCATAATCATCTTTTTTAATACTCTCTTTCTCTTCTACTTAATTATGGTTGAGGGAATATCCATAGGAATAACTTAGAGAAAATTAATAAATATAAAAAATGAGTTTTATATTTAAGACCAAAACTAACTCAACAATTGGATCATATATTAAGGATAGGAAGAGTATTAATTACCACTCTCTCTTATGTATCTTTTAAAACTATTTTTTGTTCAAAATAATAAATATAAATCATCAATTAACTCATAATTTTTTTAATTTTACTCTTATCATTAATTAATGTTTTGTGTTAATAAGCCCATCAAATTCCTTGTTTCTCTATCTTTATTATTTAAGTTGGGATAACTCGGAAAAAATTATCAATTTAGAACAAGTTTAATGTTTTAATTTTTTTTTCCCTTAGTATGTGAGAATTAGCTAAAAATGCCCTGTAATGAGGATTGGAGGGAGTACTTGCTTTATTTATACTAGCCTTTTTAATTACTCCTTCCATCGTTTATTATAAGAAACAACTATTAGGATCAGACAATTCAAAATGTTAATAAAATTTAGCTAAAAGTAATAAATGTATAAGATAAATATATATTTTTTTAATTATACATTTGTTTGTAACGAGACTACATGAGAGATAATGAATGAAAATTTATTATAGATATAATAAATGACATATATTTGATGGGATAAAAGTAGAAAAATCTTAGACAAAGATAATTTGTTTCTTATATTTTGAGACATCATTATGAAAGAGATTGTTTCTTATAAAAAAGAATGGAGGGAGTAACGTGGGAACACCTTCATTAATAAGAGTATTTTTGTCAAAAAAAAAAACAAGGACAATAGACAATTAGCAAAAATGTCTTAGAAAAAAACAGAGAGATAAGGGGTGAACATATAATTAGGCATTAAAAAAAAAGCATAGTATAGAAGCAATGAAATACTTCCTCCGGTCCTAAATATAATACCCATTTTGTAGTGTAATTACACTACAAAATGATTACACTGCAAAATGGGTATTATACTTAGGACAGGAGGAATAATAATAAGGATAAGTATTTTGTGTTTGGAAAACACAAGTGGACTCCATCTCTTTACCATGATAAGGAGATTGATGAGGAAGGTTAGATGTTGCTCTGTACTATTTATGCTTCCTTTGAAGCTTTGGATTGCAATTTCTATTTAAAATAACAAAATTGAATTTTGAAAGATAGATTGCTACTCAAGGAAGGGAGCAAATTGGGTACCTGAAATTTTATGTAAAAGTAAAATTAAAGTGATAGAATAGTAGAGACAATGAAAACGAAAACGAAGCATAAGTAAGTTAAATATTTAAGGAGTCATAGAAATCAAATATAGATATTTATTTTGGTTCTACTTCTCTGTCACCACAACGAAGCAATGAAAAGTAGCTCAAATGGATCAAAAGCTCATCAAACGCTCATTTAGCACTGCTCTGAAGAAAGAAGGAAGAAAGAGAGATAGTCGTTGCTTGAGATATTGGTCTCTCCTGCCGTGTCACGCTTGAGAGGAAGGTGGGGGAAAAGGGTAACATTAATATTGCGAAAAGTTAAGAAAGTGGTGAGACCCATAAAATGAAACTTGTCACTGTTTTCCTGGTCAGAGCATACGAGGTGGCACTCCTAGAGTATACAAGAATTTCTCCTTCACCGCAACATTACCCTTTGGTTGTGTTTGAAAAGAAACATTGAAAATGAAGGATTAAGATTGAGATTACAATTGAAAAAAATTATTAAAAGAGTGTTTAATATAAGAGATTGCTTGTTATATGGGATTTGTCAAACCTATGTATGTGGGATTGGAGAATATCATGAGGAGAAGTAGTATTCCCCAATCTTACCTCTATGGTTTTGCCTAATTCCGTATAATAAACAATTACTCATACTAAATACTATTTTAATGATTTTTTTAATTGCAATCCCAATGTCAATCCTTCATTTTTAATGCTTTGTACCAAATGGGACCAATGCTTCTAAACTTGAAAAGGACTTCAGACTCAAATTAAATGGCAATATTTATATATATGCATATATTTGGCGTGGCTTTAAAAGCAATTGAGTTCTTCTTAAAACTCACTTTAAAATTGAAGTAATTTTTTGTAAACTTTTTGACTTTTCTTGAGATTTGAGACTTTTCAATATATCATAATTTGAATAAGTTTCTATCAAGCAATTTTTTTAAAAAAAATTATTCAAACATAAATTATGTTATCCTAATTGATTTTTATTTTAAATTAAATTTTTTAAAAATTAAATAAAATAAAAGTTATTTTTATTAATGTCAATCCAAACAATCTCGTAGGTGGCATGTCTTTACATTATTTATATCCATCCCCATCTAAAATATTCTTACCTTAAATAAAGAATATTTTAGTAAATTGACATTTAATTTTACCATAATATAAGTTATTTAATGACAATCTAATGAAATATCCGGACGTGACTGTCAATTGACAAACTTATCACAGTAACTAGCGTCCTATTATTATAAATACTATATCTGTTTTCATAACTCTTGCTTTTGTCCTAAACTCTCTAATCTTCCTAATAAACAGCTCGGAGAGGGTTTCTCATAATTCATGCCTTGTAACGTTCAAATGTTGTATATTGTACCATTATATTTTATTTTATTTAGCCCTGTGATTTGCTTTTGCCAGTATGTAATCCTACGATTAGACATTAATTATTTGAGACTTATAAATAAAAGTCACGTACAAAACATTAGCATCGATACTAGTGAATAAGAAATACTGTCTTCGGTCCTAATTATAAGAGTTAGTTGACTAATTTGAGAAGATTAAAGAAATAAATTAAGTTAGTTATTTGTAATAAATATATATTGTTTTTTCTAAAATATCCTTGCTAATCAAGTGTTGGCTAAAACAACCATTATTAAAATGACTATATTGAAAAAAAATACATAAATATGAGAGACAAAGTGGATGGGGGTCTTATATTTAGGATCAAAATAAAAGTCAAACGAGGTTTTATATTAAAAATCAGAGGTAGTACTCCCTTGCTTTGTCATCTAATTTCTTATTTTGCTATTCTCTTTTATTTCTTCCACTGTCTAACTTTCCCTGTTTTATAATAACACTTCGATTTTAGTACTACCTCGGTCCTAATTATAAGAGCTAGTTGACTAATTTGAGGAGATTAAAAAAAAATTAAGTTAGTTATTTGTAACAAATAGGTGTTGTTTTTCCTAAAATATCCTTACTGATCAAGTGTATTGATTAGAACTATCATTATTAGAAGGATTATTTTGGGAAAAAATCCATAAATATGAGAGACAAAGTGTATTGGTGTTTTATATTTAGGACCAAAATAAAAATCAAACAAGGTCATATATTAAGGACCTGAGGTAGTAGTATTTTATGATAAATAAATAGTTAATATTACTTCTGGTCCTTAATAGTAGAACTAATTGACTAATTTAAATAGATTAAGAAAACTAGTTAAGTTAGTTATTTGTAATAAAAATGTGCTTACTTTCCTACAATATCCTAAATAATCATATGTATTGGCTAGAACTACCATTTAATTAAACTTTTAACATACTACATTTGGTCCTAAATATAAAAGTTAGTTGACTAATTTGAGGAGATTAAGAAAATAAGTTAAGTCAATTATTTGTAATAAATAGATGTTATTTTTTTCTAAAATATCTTTACTAATCAAGTATATTGGTTAGAACTATTATTATTGAAAGGACTACCTTGGAAAAAAATACATAAATATTAGAGACAAAGTGGATTGAGGTCTTATACTTAGGAACAAAATAGGTATCAAACGATGTCTTATATTAAAGATTGGAGGTAGTATACAACTATAATAAAGACTACTTTGAAAAAAAAAAGATAAATATAAAAAACAAAGTGAATTTGGATCTTATATTTGGTCCAAATTAAATATAAAACTAATTCTTATCTTACCTCCGGTTTTTAATAGAAGAGTTAGTTGGCTAATTTGAGTAAATTATGAAAATTAGTTAAGTAAGTTATGAGTTAGTTGGCTAATTTGAGTAAATTATGAAAATTAGTTAAGTAAGTTATTTGTAATAAATATATGGTGTCTTCCCTAAAATATCTTTGCTGATCATACATATTAGTTAGAACTATTATTTGATAAAATATTTAACATGTGTAACTATTATAATGACTACTTTACGAAAAATGAAAAAATATGAGAAATAAAAAAGATTCAGATTTAAAAATCAAACTAATTCTTATATTAAGATCCGCAAGTGGTATTAAGCACCATAATTTGGGTGTTGCAGCTTGCAATGACCTAAATTATCTCTTATGGTTGTTACTTTATGTGCATAGGGGTTTCTTTGCTCTGCTTGGGCATCGGCGTATCGTTGCCGCCTCAAGTTCTCTAATCATATTCACGCGCTTCGCATCCATATCACGCTTAGACTAAATGTAAACTTGTCACGCGGGGTAACTTAATTAATTACGTGGCTCACAATTAATCGAAATGATGTCTTATAATTGAATTGATAACGCACTGTTATTATACTCTTCCGGTCCTTATTATAAGACCCAATTTGACTTTTTATTTGGTCCTAATTATAAGACCCAATCCATTTTGTCTCTTATATTTATGCTTTTTTTTCCAAGATAATCCTTTTAATAATAATAGTTTTAGCCAATATACTTAATTAGCAAGGATATTTTAGGAATGACAACACTTATTTATTATAAATAACCAACTTAACTTACTTCCTTAATCTCCTCAAATAAGTCAATTGGGTCTTATAATTAGGACCGGAGGAGTAACATATAAACATAAATAAATATTTACTTCAAAATATTGTTGCACATAA